TGTGTGTGTGTGTGTGTGTGTGTGTGTGTGTGTGTGTGTGTGTGTGTACACACACATCTAAATGCCCGGTAATGGGAAATGAATGTGGGCAGGAATGGAGCAGGCAAGCTGGCAACAAAGGGTCCGGTTTCTGGGCGGCAGATGGGCGTCTGCGTGGCCTTGATTGCAGCCAGGCCCAAGAGAAGCAGTCGGGGGGGGGGCAGGGGGGCGGTCAGAGGGGGTCGTCTCCAGGCAGACGGGGGTTTTCCAGGGCCTCCTGATGTCTCCTTCCTTGCAGGTTTCGTCTTGGGAGAGAGCCCAGCTCTAGGGGGGGCGGCCTTTCAGTTAGGGGAGTAGTTCTGGATTCAGCGAGTGACCTTTCCAGTCAGATCCAGAGGCAACTAAAGTCCCAGAAAAAATAAATAAAAAAAGTTCCTCTCCTGGACAGACTGGTTTTCCTGGGGAATCAAAGACGGAGTGTCCCCTGCTGGTCAAGGCTGGTGGTGCAGGAGCCCAGAGGCTGACCCCTTGGACAGAGGAGCGGGGGGGGGGGGGGGGCGGGCACGGCCCCAGGAGTTACTGGCCGCCCTGGCGGCGGCAGCTCCGTGTTGGCAGAAAAGCTCCCCGTTTCCCTGGTGGTTTGTGGGTTCCTGGGCGTCACGCAGGAACAATGGTGGGCTGCCCACCCCCCTGGCAGTTCCCGTTGGGAGGGGGGGCCCAGGTGAGCTGAACATTGGGGGTTGCAACCGTGGTTCGCGGCTCAGGTGAGGCATAACCTCGGCCATCGTGTTGAAGGGTGCAACCGGGCGCTGCTTCCCTGCAAGCTCCTGGTGCATACATGCGGGGGGCTCTCCGCCCCCGAGGAAGCTTTGGGGCAGGAGGCCCTTGGCCAAGGTGGACTTTCCCATTGGAGGGGCTCCATATAGACCAGCTTGTGCTAGTAGACGTGCGCATTTTATCGCTGTGAGCGGCCTGCTTGGCTTTGCTCTCCCTCTTCATTTTTCTAATCAAGACCTGAATGAACTTACGAGTTAATAGACTGAGAAGGTTTGAATCCTGGGCTGCGAAAGATTTCTCAAACAAGGAGCGCTCTTTCTCGGACCTCACCCAGCTAGTTTTCCCAAACCATTTCTGTAAAGCTTTTGACCCCGGTCCATTTTCAAATCAATATAAATTCACTTCCTGTTACATCATCGCCGCTTGACGCAAAAGAGCTTCTGGTTTTTGTTTTGAAAGGTGAATCATTTAACACCCGGAGTCGCCTTTTGTTCCTAAGAGAACCAGCCGGGGGCAGCCTGGGGCACTTGCCTGCCTGCTGGGTGTTGTGGTTTTGTGGGCTCTGCTGTTGAACGTGGTTCCTGGACCTGCAACCCGACACACTGAGCGAGCAAGCGCAGCCGTTGGTGCCCAGACCCCTGGCTTTCTCTCACCCTGGAGCCTTCGAACCCAGCTGGAGTGCCAGGAGGCCGGTTGGGGCAGGAAGCTGCTAGAGATAGAGACTCAGGCAGCTGTGCATTGAAAGGGTGTGTCAACCCCCCCCCGCCACATTATTCTCTCCCCCCGCCCCTCCCCCCCCCCAGGAGAGGAGTGACCACAGCAGCTCTGGGTTTCCCAGCCTGTAGAAACAGCTTTATTGGGCACGTCCAGGATCCTCCAAGTCCCACTTCAAGAAGAAACCGTGTCCCACAGGAGAGCTGGTAGCGCCCTAATTCCACCCCGAGGCTCTAGCGGTCAGTCCCAGGATGTGGGGAGGCTCCGGGTTCCAAGAAGGCAGGCTGCATCCAAGTTGCTCTCCGCTCCTTGGAGGGCTGTGCAATGCAGGCCCCTGAAACCGATCCCAGCAGCCGCTGCCAGCAAGCGCGAAGGACAGGCTGTTCCCAGAGAAGCATTTGAAAGAGGGGAGTCCTGCCAAAAGTAGCAGGGGGGGGGGAGGGCAAAGCCCGGGGCTTCTGGACGCTCTCGCCTCACTCGGACAAGAGGCTGTGGATCTTGGTCAGCAGCACATCGGAGCTGGAGCCTGCAGGCGGGAGGAGACGGCTGTGAGGGGCTGCGGCTTGCCGGCTTTCCCAGAGGTGAAATCCCCGTTTAGGGTCAGCCATATTCCTTCAACGAGCAGCGAGCCTCTCTTGAAGCTGCTCACAGAGACACGAATGGAGGAGGCCTCACAATATCCTGATTTCCCCCAAGATGCCGGTCAGGCCCTTTTCCCCGCTCTATACCCCTTTTCCTTGGTCGCCTGTGCAGCTGCTATGCACCAAATGTGGCATTTTGCTCCTGTGTTACACAGTAGAAATACCCAGTTATCCCCAAATGCCAGCTTTACCTCTCGACTCCTTTTTCCGAGACCATCTTCTGTAAAGAAGAAGAAGAAGAAATCAGAGTTCCATCCAGGGTCTTTCTGACGCTTGTGGCACAGCTTGGCCAGGTCATGCGGTGCTCCACCTAAATCAAAGGCCTTGGCAAGTTTAAGACTTGTGGACTTCCACTCCCAGAATTCCTGAGCTAACATGACTGGAGGAGGGATTCTGGGAGTGGAAGTCCACAAGTCTTAAAGCTGTCAAGTTCGAACACCCCTGACCTAAATGCACATCAACACTTCCCTCAAAGTGACCACAAAAAGACCCATCTGACCAGGGCCAGGTTTGCTCAAGTGCGGCAACTTTAAGCTGTACCCTCTTCAACTCTGGGGATTCTGGGAGTTGAAGTTCACACATTTAAACCGTCCAGGGTGAGACAATGCACTCTGCCCCTGAGCAAGATTGCAGTAGGTGCTTCCACCTTCTAGTAGAAAGGCCGACTCTCCAACTGGAGACCTAACGCCCTTCGGCACGTTGGCCAACCTCCAGAATGGTGATGGTAGCAGCCCCCCCCCCCAACTTCCTTGGGAAGATGCAGGCTGGGAAAAGCCCCGTTCTCTGACTTGAGGAATTCCTCATCTCGGCTCGCCTGGCACTCACTCCAGCAGCAGGAAAGCCGAGAGAACCAGCAGGAAGGAGGCGCAGTCGGTCACAATCCAGATCATTCGATAGGTGCCACGAGGCTGGGAGAAAGACGGGCGGCCGATCAGGGGGGGCAGCTGCCTGGCGAAGCCCTTCCTGCCAGGGAGCCCGAGTGGGCTGCAGCAGCCAGAGCAGGAGCCCCCCACTCACCCCCAGGGGCCTTACCAGCAGCCAGAGCGGGTGCTGCATCTTCTGGAGCACCTGGCAGGCGTTGGTGGTAACCGAAGAAGTCCCAGCACACCAGAGGACGGAGAAGAGCCACGGAGCATTCACCACAAACAGGTTGACTGAGATATTGTTGCGGTGGTATTCCCTGCAGAAGGGGAGGGTGTGTGCGCCAATAAAGCGGGGGTCAGTACAGCCCATAATAGCATGGTTTGCACGGAAGGCCTGAGGAAGGCTGCAGCTGCATCCCAGCCCCTGGGAGGTCGAAGCCTCCCTGGGCAACAAGGACCTGAAGACGACACCGTCTTTCGGCTGGTGGCTTTGCAGCTTTTTCTATGGAGGGTTACTGAGGGGGGGTGGGGGGACGGAGGGACCTTACGTTGAGCCCCCTGCTCTGCTTGAGCCCCCCCATCCCGTTTTTCAGTTTGGGAGGGGGGGGCTTCCGAGAGGTTTGCTTTCCGCACCCCACCCATTTCCCAACGGTCTGCCTTCATAAAACGGAGCTGGGGCTGAAAAACGCAGTTGTATAAAGCTGCCTCCCCCCGCCCCTCAGATGTGCCCAGGATGTGCCCTGGTCTGGCCAAGGAAGAGCCCCCCCTCCCTCCCCAGCCCCCCAGCTCTAACCTGATTAACGTGCTGCTCAGTTTTTGGTAAGCCAGGTTGACTCGCGGGAGCCTCCTGGTCTTGTTGTCCAAACTCTCGGGGCCGTAGATGTGCTGGAACCTGGGTGCCCACAGTCTCACCTCCTCCCGAAACTTATTGGGCAGCCATAGGATCTGGGTTGGGGGAGAGAGAGGGTGTAGCAGGGCCCACTCGCCGTTCGTAGGGCCAGGAGTATCTCCAGGTCTAGAACCACAGTGGCCCTAGAACTGAGATACGCCTAAGGCAGGCGGGCGTGGCTCCGATTATCTGGATCTGGAATGGATCTGACTTCCGCCAGGTTCCCTTTCGGGATCCCTGACTGGAGAGGGCAGGTAGCGCAAGACGGTCCCGAAGTCGCATTTTCAAGGGGAACCAAATTGCCTTTTTCTCCAGCCTCATAAGTCTCCGCCTCCGTTTGGGTTCTGTTGTGGTTGGCCTGCAGCAGGTATGGGTGGCTGAGGTCTTGGAGAGCGAGGACTCGGATCAGGGGCCTGCGTGTGAGGCAGGGATGGGGCCAGGACCCTCAGAGAGTGGGGTGCTGCCTTCGGAGCTTGTGGAGGCTGGCAGCAGTGATGAAGAGGACCCCGAGGAGCCTGTGCCCAGCGCACAGGTTTGTTCTTATCTGGGACAATTAGTATTTAATTGCGCTTTACTGTGAACGAACGGAATTCACAGAGAAGCATTAAAGAGGTTTTGCTTTTACCTCTGTTTGGTGTTTGTTTGCTTGGAACGAGGCTTGGGTCAGAACAGGTTCTGCTTAGAAGGTGCACTTGCCTTTTTCGCCACAGGGAAACTCACCAGCTGTTGGTCGATGCCCGATTGGAGGATGGTCTCCACTGTGATGTTGACCAGGCGCTCGTAGTGGGGGTCTTCCAGCGGCAACAGGTCAAACATGACGGACACCTGGTGCCTCCTGGCCTCTGCCAGCAGCTCCCTCAGAGACGGAATGCGCTGCCTCCTGGCCTGGGCCATCCCTTCCTCTGAAAGGCTCCAGGCTGTGGGGAAGGGATGCTTCTGGTAGAGGAAAGGGAGGGGCGGTGAGCCCAGCGGCTGCAAGGCAACCCCGGCTAAACCATGTCCTGCGGTTGGGTGGGCTGCTTTCCCTCCATGCAAATCCAGATTCTCGGAATGTGTGTGAGGTTGTCCCACCAGGGAAGAGGTTTAAACTTTCCCTTCCATTAGTCCTGACGCCCCTAAGATGCATGTCCGTTTCTGACTGGAAGGACGGGGGGGGGGGTTGCCAGAGGGGAGATCTCCCCCTCCCCAATTGTTAGGTGCGAGTAGCCAGGGAAATGGGATTGCTATCAGGGGGAAAAGAAGGGAGGCCAAGAGTCAAGAAGAGCACGGAAGGTCCTTCCCCTTGTGAGGGTGAGGACTCAGGCCTGCTCCATCCCCTCTCGGCCATCCTCCCCAGACTCCAAGGGGCTTCACCTCAGCCAAATCCAGACGAGCGAGCCAGATGTTCAGCACAACCTGATCCTAGCCAGGCCTTGCGTGGATCAAGGGGCCCCATCCTGCTCTCACCTGCAAAAACCAGCTGCCGGCGTCCAACTGCTGCAGCTGCGTCCAGTTGAAGGCCGTGGCCTTGGCGTGGCTGTGGGTGGGGAAGACCTCCTGCACATTTGTCGTCCGTAGGAGGGTCTCATCGTGCAGGAGGAAAGGGATCCCGTCGGCACTGGGAGTGGGAAAGGAAGGAAAGGCCTGGATCCTGGACCTTCCCTTCCTGGGTGGGCGGGGCATGGGGGAGCCCGCCCCTCCAGCAGGGCCACTGATGCCCGGCCCGTCTCTTACCTCACCCGGACATCCGTTTCTAAGACGCTCAGGCCACAGTTGAGCGCCTTCTGGAAGGACATCATGGTGTTCTCTGGTGCCAGCTGGAGAGAGGGGGAGGGGGAGGTGAAGCTGGAGGGTTTTGGACCCCACCCCCGACCCCCGACCACCCAGCTCTCCAGGAAGGGGTTCCACGCATCCTCTCGCAGCTGGAACAATTCTGGTAGCTCGGAGGGTTCTTAGGAAGAAGAGGTGGAGCTGGGACGTCTTCCTAGTGTCTTACCGAGTTGGAAGGGACCCTGGAGGTCTTCTAGTCCAACCCCCCCCCCCTTGCACGAGCAGAAGAACCCACACCGTTTAATCCAAGAGGAAGAAGCAGAGAAATCCCAGCAAGGCTAGGCTGTGAAAGTCAGCAGCCGCCGCCGCTGCTGCTGTTTTAAGGACCCATCTGCCTTGGTGGGAAGCGGAGGGGCAGGGACTCACCATGGGAGCCCCGCGGTGCCCAAACAGAGCCGGTTTGGGAGGGAGCTGGCTCTGCTCCAGGAAGCAGGGGGAGTCGATGCCCAGGGGGGCCAGGTATAAAGCCAGCATTGCGCCCAGATACAAGACCAGGATGACGCCCCGGAGAGCTGCAGCGAAACAAATGGAAGAGGGCCCCAAGCAGACCCCTCATGAGCGCCGACTGCTCTTCCTCTCTCCATTAATCCTAGGGACCTTTGCTCCCTGCCCAGATCCCCCGTGTGGAAGGGTGGGCAGAAGGCCTCCAGGACCTCAACTGGATTCCAAACCAGGGCAGCCCCAACAGGAGGCTGGCCAGACTCAGAGTGAACGCCTGCAGCCAAGGGCAGCGCACTGCCTCCCCCTGGAATTCGCCCCAGGTGCCCTGCTCTGGCGCTCAGGAAGGCTTTCCTGGCATCTGGCTGGAATACGCCAGCCCACAACGTGGGACGGCTGTTTCCCCCCCTCAATGCTGTCCCAACAGGAAGCAGCTCCACCACACACGTGGGGACCCTCCACCCGAGACCCCCAACTTCCAGGCATCGTTTTAACAGCTCAGGAAGGAAGGAGCTGTGCCTGAGTGTTAGGGTTTCCGGTATCCACATTCACCTTGGAACAGGTGTCCAAGGGCCGAGCCCCAACCGGGCTTTGATAAGGAACCACCCTCCTTGTCCCCACCCACAGTACCTGCGTGGGAGATGCGGTAGAAGCAGGTTGCTACTGGCCAGGCAAGCATCGTCAAACCCGCCACGGCTCCAATGTGCAGGAAGGGGCCGGTCGCCTGGCGGGAGACAATTCAAGGGGGTTGGCCTTTCCACGGGAGCCCAGCTGGCCCCGAGAGGCCACAGTTCAGAAGCTCCGAATCCTCCCAGGATTAGGGAGAAGGGCAGCTGGGTCAGGAGGGGGCTCCACCCCGCCCCACTCCCGGGAAGGAAAAGCCACAACATCCCTTGGATTTGGCAAATGGAGTCCTTCCGAAATTCCCTCTCCGGCTGCTGCTCTCCATCCAACAGAACCTCTTTCATTTCCTGGCCTTTTTGGTCCCCACACAAGGATTTACGGTCCTGTGGCAAGGCACGCCTGGCCTGGAGAGTCTTCCCTGCTAAATGACGGGCAGCCGTCTATCCCTGAGTGCCCCCAGCCTGCCAATTTCATGGAGCCAAAGGTCTGACCATTAGCCCCAGAGGGGGCTCATCCGGACCTCGGATATGCCCACCTGGTGGCTGCCCAGCCTCCGTTCTCTGGGGCCCCAACTGGGCACCTCTCCCTGTAGGAGAGGCTAAGTCACCTGCTGCAGCTCAGCCAGCAGGTGGGACAAGAACAGAATCACAGAGTCAGGAGGCACCTTGGTGATAATCTAGTCCAACCCCCTGCTCAAGCTGGGAACCCTACACCATTTCAGGCAAATGGATGCATTTTTGAAAACTTCCAATGTTGGAGCACCTACAATTTCTGTAGGCAAGTTATTCCACTGGTGAATAAAGAAATTTCTCCTGACTTCCGGTTTGGGCTTCTTCGGCGATAGACCGAAATCCGTGGTTGTGCGCGGTTTCGATCCATGCTCGCCGCAGGGGCACCCCGAGCCGTAGAGGTGGTGAAGAGGGGGGAGACCGCCAGCAGAGTTGAGGAGAGCTCCATCTCTCCTCCTCAGCTGGCCATTGCTCTCTTTCCCGAAGGCGGTGCAGCGGTGGTCAGAAATGGCCACCTCAAAGAAGAATTCGACCGGACAAGATTGTGCAGGAGGAAGATAAAAAGAGAAAGCTTTGACTGACTGGGTTGAACTGAGAAAGCAACAACACAAGGTACCCTGGAATTTGAATTATAAAGAGTAACATTGTTCCCAAAAAAGATTTTTGAAGCGACGAAGTAGAGAGGGAAGGGAAAAGATTTGGTTTTTTCCCTTTTCTCATCCGTTGCTTCTTGTCCTGCCTTCAGGTGCTTTGGAGAATAGCTTGACCCCCTCCTCTTCTTTGGGGCAACCCCTCAAATATTGGAAGACATCTATCCTGACTCTCCTCTAATCCTTTCTTTTCATTTTACTAGACACACCCAATTCCTGCAACGATTCCCCAGACGGTTGAGCCTCCAGTCCCTAACAGAGTGGGAGCAGAGAACAGAACAGAGCTGGACAGACAACTCTGCATGGGGCTCAGCGTAAAGCAGGGAAGGGCAGCCCTGGGCTTCTCTCGGGGCCCCTACCTGTAGGGCAATGTGGGCGCTCTCCCACTGCTCTGACCACTGAAGTTTCAGCCCCACAAAAGCAGCCACTACGATCAGCAGAGTCAGGATCAGGAGGCCCTGGAAGAAACAGAGAAGGCGCCTTCAAGGCCCAGGAAGTCACCCAAAGAACCTCTGTCCAGGAAGGAAACGCGGCCCTTGGTGGGCAAGACCTACTGGCGTGGGTTGGCAAGGGACGCTCAAGCGGAGGGCCTCCCAGGGAGGCCTCAGAAGCCTCCTGCCCATGGGAAGGAAAGGGGGCAAGCAGGAGATTGTGGTCTTACCTTGTGGAGCCAATGCAGCTTCAGGGGCTGATGGCAGAGCTGGAGGCAGAGGGCCAACACCTGGGATGCACAGGAAAGGAAACAGCTGCTTGGGGCAAGAAAACCTTGAGGAGGGCAGGACAGGATGTCCCCGCTTGGAAAGACCCTGAACTGAGCGCGGGGGGTTCATGCAAATCTCATCCTTCCGGATGTGTCGGACCACCCAGTTCCCTCAACCCCAGGTAGTCCGATCAAGGTGGGTGAAGATTACCCCCCCCCCCCCCAGAAAGGGAAACGCGTAGCTCTGACTTCCAAAACGGGCATCCCTTTCCTTGCCTGCCAGTTTTACTCTCCAAGCCGGAGATGCCCAAATGCCAACCTCTCCCCTCTTCTGTCTTCTGGGGTGTATGTGTGTGTGTGTTGCCCACCTAATTCTGGCCACTTTGAACCGGAGAACTGTGGCAGTCCATTCGTCAGAGTGAACCATTGTGTTCCATTGTGCCAGGATAATGTCAGCCTCTCGATATGGCAAGAGTTTATTCTGTTAGATCAGAGGTCTCCAAACTTGGGCACTTTAAGACTTGTGGACTTCAACTCCCAGAATTCTCCAGCCTGGCTGGAGAATTCTGGGCGTTGAAGTCCACAAGTCTTAAAGTGCCCAAGTTTGGAGACCTCTGTTTTGGATGCTGCTGCAACACTCCTCCCCCGTCTCCCTCCCCATGAACCGCAGAGTCCAAACTGGAGGGCACAGAGATATCCCGAAGACCCTCCCATACCGTCAGCCAGAGGGGAGGGGCGATACGGAAACCCCCAGAACCAGGGAGCTTCAGTGCAAAGTTGGACCAGGAAGGGAGGGGGGAGGTATGAAAGATGAAGGGAGAGGAGGCCTACCATCAGCAGAGAGGAGTAGGTGACCAGCGTGGCTGTCACACACAGCATCACCACTGACCAGTCCAGCCACCATTCTGTCTTCTGGAAGATGAACCTGTGCCGGGTGGGGGAGGGGAAGGAGGGTGGGTAAAGCTTACCCAAAGGTCAGAAAGGGGCACAGTGGAGGCACGGGGGAGCGGGGCGGGGGGGGGGGCTCCTACTCACTCATTGAAGTTGTGGAAGTCGTTGAGCGTGACCAGGGCCACGTACAGCCAGGCCAGGGCAAGGAGGCCGATGCAGAAGAGCAGGAAGAACCAGGCGGAGTCACACTGTGGAGGGAGCGGGGGGCGGGGGGCTCAACGGACACTGCCAGGTTGGGACACCCCCCCCAGGGGGCTCAGAGGGAGGAGCCAATCCCCCCAGCCAATCCCATAAGCCTCATCCCCTCCTTGGCTACAGAAGGCGGGGGAAGAAAGACGCCACCCCAGGAGGGAGGACGCACCCTCGGCCCTTGAGTGCTTTCCACGCAGACCAAGAGGGTTAACTGATGCCCAGCTTATTTGGGGGGGTGGTCTGCAGCCCGTCCCCAGAGGGAGAGGGACCAGGCCTCCCAGGGGCTCCCGTAAGGGCACACACCTTGCTCGTCTTCAGGCTCTTCTTGTGGGTCCAGTGGCAGCCGAACAGCCCCAGCAGGCAGGTGGTGCAGAAGTGCTGGCAGCCCCCATTCCTCTTCGCCATGGCTGCTCGCGTCTTGGCAAGGGGCAGCCCCACCCTGCAAGGGGAAGCAGGCAGGCTGGCGGTTCGGGGGAAGGAAGGAGACGCCACCTCATCCCCAACTGCAGGGACCGTCTGAGCAGGAGGCGAGTTCAGCAAGTTCCCCTGACTCACCCGGCAGGCTCCCAGAGGAGGCCAATCCCAACCAGGCACGGAAACCTGCGCAACCTGGCCAGGTGAGCCCTGCCCGGCCATCCCACCCCAAGGCAGCAGGTTGGGGCAAGCCCGCAATGCATGGAGGCACCTTGGAAAGCCGTTTAACCCGCCATCTTCTCCCAGGTGGGGAGGAGGGAAAATGGAAGGGAAGAGCTCCCGCCCAGAGTGTCTGGCGGGGTGGGGGGGTGGGGGGGGCAGCCTTTGGCGAAGGAGGACAGGGTGATGCCCTCAAAGGAAGGCCAGGCGTCTCCCTTGCCCTGCCCAGGAGGGGAGGGGAGGGGAGGCGGGGAGGGGCCTTCCTGCTGTGCCCCAAACAGAGCCGCTTTAGTCCCCTGCCTCTCTAGCCTGGAACCAGGTGATCCAGATTGGATTTTTGCTGAGATGAACAACATGGATGGATTCTTTTTCCCAGTCCAGAGATTAAAACTAGTCGGGCTGAAAACGGCTCTACGGGCAGGACGGCGCTGCTGAGACCAGACCAGGCCGCCTCCTGCTTTGCTGCAGTGTGCAAACGGTGGTATTTAAACCACGATGGATGCTAATTAAATTCTGCCCAAGTTGCAGAGGACTGAAACGTGTGCCCTGTGTATGCAGCCCCCTCTCTAAGGCAGGGGCCTCCGACCTTGGCAATTTAAAGACTTGCGGGGTTCAACTCCCAGAATTCCCCAGCCAGCCATTGCCCCTCCCCAAGGCCTGCTGGCTGGG